GGTAGCCCGGGCCTGCTATAGGCAGTTAGGGTAGCTGTAGGAATTCGGCTAGTACCGGGCCTGTATTTTTCCCGGATTTGCAGATCTGTCCCTCACGAATTTCCTTACAGGCAGGTCTCTCAGTTAGCCCTCAGCCAAACAAAATTACGAATCTAACCTACCGGTTAGTGTACAGCCTCGCAGTAAATCTCGGCAGCAGAAATCAGCAAGTCATTGCAAACTTGCTGGGATTCTTCATTTCTGGCCGTAGAGGTCCCACTTGGGCAAGGTAAGTGAACTGACATGCAATGACGTAGCACACAAGGCGTCGTAGTACACGTGCTGCAAAGCAGTGTACACAAGAACCGAATCTTTGATTGAAAGGATGCCGCTTGGGCAGGGCCGATCTGCTCCACTACAAGATCGTACCACAATGTCTTTCCTGGTATAGGGACATTACACATCGTATGTTTCAAGACTTTGAGGAAACAAGGTCACAAACTTAAGCGCCAAGAGCATAATACTAATTGTAAGTGCAGCGTGATCTGCCAGTTGGGCAAGGCCGATCCGCCACAAGATCGTATCATGTCTTCCCTCATATAGTGACAGCCAAAATTGTGTGCGCCAGGACATTGCAGAGACCAGGCAACAGCATCAGAAGTGCACTGCATGGTCATGTCCACCCAGAGAGCATACGGCGGAACCGGTGAACCATTCAAATCTGTGAATTTTCAAATGAGGCAGAGGGCTACCGCACTGCACACCTACCGGCAGCCCTTAGATTGCAAAGATCAAGGATCAGGAATGAAGAATCCGACCAAGTGGAACCTGACTCCAGATCTGTGTTAAATGTAGCCGAAGAGAGCCTCGGCAGCATTCCTTGCAGTAGAGGAGAGAAGGGAGCACACTAGGTACATTGGTAAGGAACTGAGCATTATCAGCATAGTGATATGCACTACAGGTGCTTTTTTTTCATTTTCTATTTTTAGATATAATACTAACTAGGCCATGCTTGTTTCAATATATGGCCTCCACACCATGTCTGTATTTTGTCGGAGGCGTCATGCTGGTGTATCGGCCACACACACATGATGGCAGTTGCACATATTACGGAGACTTGCATGCCATAAGTGGACGATGCCATGCTGTGCAAGAAAGATTGTGGGGTTGTTGATCCATCCATAGCAATAAAAACCAGAAATCTCTGCGAAAAAAAAAAAAAAAGGGGTTGTTGATCTAGCCATAACAATAAAAACCAGAAATCTCTGCGAGAAAAAAAAGAAATAGGAAAAGCTGTGTGGAAATTTGAGAGACAGTGGTGGTGGTTTTGATCTGTGCCCGTCAGTTCTTGTTGTTGTAGAGATTGTTAAGCCAAGGGGATTATACTCACAGTACGACAATCCTGGACGTATTTGACCCCACAAGCAGCCAGATGCTTTTGAGCAATTCCTAGTCTGAGTATGCCCTCGCACTAGGACTTTCTGTAGGGAATCTCACTATAAATGAAGCTGGAGATTTGAACAGGAAAGTCCAAGTGTGAGTGCATGCCCCTTATGGAGTATGCCACACTAGCTTTCTGAATCCGCATGCACTGACTAATAATGGACATGTATCTCCCTCCCCTCCCCCCTTCTCTCCCCTGTTACTCCCTCTTTCCCTCCTCTTTCCCTCCTCGTCCCCTTCACCTTCCCGCACTTCCTGCCCCCCCCCCCCCCCCCCCCCCCCTCTCCTCACTATGCCCTCC